AGCACATATCATGGACCCCCCAGCAAGTGAAGATACAACTAATAAATAATTCATGGGTTCCAGTGGTCTATTTAATTTTCGTGAAAAAGCATGCGAGACAAATGAATGTGTAGATCCCAAATCAATCAAAATATAGGCATTTTTGAGCACAAATTGAAAGTATACCTGACACCACTGTCTCGATGTTCTGCACATCTCCTGGTACAAGTGCGAACACCCAGCCTTGCCTCAAAGGTTTCTTTCCCGTATTGGTTCTAACATTTGGTCTTGATCCAGAAGTAGATCCCACTGAACTTGCTACAGGATGGTTGGCATTCTTTGACCCGATTGGACAATATCTTATCATGTGGCCAGTTTTGCCACACTGGAAACAAGCACCAGACACTCGATGGCAAACTCCTCTATGTCTCCTCCCACATTGAGTACAAATAGGTGCAGACCCACTGCTTTGACTTGAGCTGCTAGAGGATCCCGTATTTTGTTTCTTATTTACAGTAAATGAACAGCCCTTCTTGAAATTAAATATAGATTTTTCCCTTTCCACTCAGTGATTGGGGCCAGAGTTTGGTTCTTTGCTGCCAAAATGGCTTCTGTCATCAATGCCCTATCGAGCACATTCACATACGTAGGTAGGTTGAGGACTCCTACCCGATCTAATATCTCCAAATTCAATCCACCCTCAAAATTCGGAGCTTTTTTGTACTCCGTGTCCACCATATGAGGCGCAAACCAAGCTACTTCAGTAAATTTTGCCTCATACTCAGCTACAGACATTTTGCCTTGCTTAAACTCCTGAAACTCTAAAACCTTTCGGTCCCGAAAGTACTAAGGGAAGTACTTGTCAGAGAAGATCGCATTAAATAGAGCCCATGTCAAGTTCTCATTACTCTTTCGGATCAACAAGCACCATCTCCGAGCTTCGTCCTTCAAAGTGTAGGTGGCCAAAAGAACTTTCTGGATCTCAGAACAGGGAAACACTTCGAATAATTTCTCTATCTCCAACAACTATGTTTTAGCTTTTAGTGGTTCAATACCACCAAGGAAAGTTGGAGGCTTCATCTTCATGAACTTCTGTGTCAGGTTGATTATATCATTATTATATGGCTCATGTTATGCTGGTGGAGGCGGAGGGGGCAAAGGTTGTTGCCTCTGTTGCATTGTCAATGTTTCAGTCAAGGCTGCGAGCATCTGTTCCATCCAGCTCATGCGAGCCTCTGAGGATTCACTTGTATCATTTCCCCTTGCATTCTCCATGTCGCTATAGAGACACCAAGTAACAATAAACATAGAAATAATCTTGTTCATTTCTTTCAATTTATTTATCTAAATTTAAATTTAGTTTTCATATTTATAAGATTACCACACACGTACATATGCAGATGGAATGCCCCTACTTCTTACTAGGACATCCTAAGCTCATATGGACTCTTGTGTGCGATAGAATGCGTGCTCTGATACCACTCTATCACGACCCGAACCCGCCCTTATGGGTTTAGCGTCGTAACCAGACAGTAATTCTTGGATTACCAAAGGCCTCTGAACAGAATAACTTATAATAGGGGCTGCGAAAGCAAATAAACAAAATTTACATAGTCCTTAGAGCTGTGTAGACATACATGGGACATAAATTTTCAAAACAAACTTATATATATATACACAGATGTGACGTCAAAAATACATTAGTCTTACGTCACCCAATTACACAGATAGAGTCGAATGGAACTTAGTCCAAGTGTAGATATATAGAACAAACTCAACTAAAGCCTTGACATGATCCTCTCAAAAGGAACCTCATCGGAAGGCACGATAGTTGGCTGACAAAACAGAATCTTAGGCCATCAACTCTGGACCTGGTCATGTGCCTGCTCACCTACATATATAATATAAGTGGTGAGCTGGAGCCCAGTGAATAATAACAGAGTAAAGGGGTTTTAATGAAAGTTGTCCATAATAGTTATAGAAAACAGAATTCAATAGTTATCAGAAATGGATTCATGATCATGTTCAGAAATCAAAGTTCATAACAAAAATAGATTCAAAATCATACTTATAATCAGAATTTGTAGTTAATCATACGTGGTACATCCATTAGCACTAGTAGAAACAGTTGACCCATAAAGGGATGCCCATAAAGGCATACGAAAAATAATATTTCAGAAAACAAATCATCTTATCTCATTCAAAAAATATTTATAATTGAACATAGCTTTACAAAGTTATTACTCACAGATAACCAGTGGCTCCAAATAGACGAGTAGAGTAGGCAATTCACTTAACTTAAAGCGCGGGATCTACACAACATGACAGATACATACATTGAAACACACGCTCAAATTGTACATAACTTATTTCATTTGTTCATAGTGTGTTTGTAGCCTTTATCCTCATTATAGTGTTTTAATCTTGGCCTAGAAATGCCAAGGATGGAATGAGAATGCAAAAATGTACTTGAAAATATTTTTCAAAACTTGATAAAAACAGGGTCCACGCTCGAGCGTGGCTTTCCTTGCTCGAACAGACATGCAAAATGTAAGGGTTCGGTCGAGCGCAACTTCCTTCGCTCAAGCAATCTGCAAACTTTGAAAAAAAGTACCGGTTGCATGATTTTCACGCTCGACGGACGCTTGAGCTTAAGACTTAGACCTTCGCTCGAGTGTAACTTTTGTCGCTCAAGCGATCTGCAAAAACACATTAACTTATGGAAGCATGCATTTCATGCTCGAGCGGACTTCTGGTCGCTCGAGCGGAGGTACAAAAACAAGAGTGGTCGTTCGCGCGTACAATACTTCACTCGAGCGGAGGGTGCAAATTCTGAATTTCTAGATTTGCTTCCAAGGTCCAAAACTCAATCTTAAAGCATCAAAACTCGATTTTTTTGGGCCAAAACTTGAGGAAACACTTAGAAACTTATAAAACATCATGAATTAAGGATCATTTCAAGAAATCATGGCCCAATAGCTTGCCAATTATGCAAAAATTCAACTTAAAATTTATGAATGTTCCATAAACATGACATGCATGAATTTCTTTGAACTTAGCTTCTCAAAACATGATCAAATACTACAAAACAACATGAAACTTGATGATTTCCCAAAATTAAGGTGAATTCAAGACATGCATAAGGAAATTTTTGGAAATTAAACTCAAAATATGAGAAAATATGCATGCATGCATGGTATGGCTCAATACTCTTCATTTCTAACTCAATTCTTGCATTAATCAACAAAATTCTCTTGTGTTCATGCATTATAGTCTAGATTTCAAGCTTAAGGATAACATTCTTACCTAGAGGCTTGAGTTTACAAGTGTTGAAGTTGTAACTCTCAAATTCTCTTTAATCTCTCAACAATTTCTTGCAAGCTTCCCCTTTCTTACTTGATCCTAAACCCTTTCTTAGTCTCTCACTTCTCTCTCACGTTTGGTGTCTTAGGAGCAGGAGTTGATGATATAAAAATGACCTAATGAGATCAAGTACATGGCCCACCTAGGGACACATGTTCAATTGTGGTTAAAGGCAATCATCTCGCATTAAATTAGTCTAATTATTTGGTTCCGAATCGAATTTCAATTAAACCTACCATAAAATTCTAAAATTTTTAATTAACACATAAATCAAGTCAATTTCTGAATCAGATGTCGATAAGGCCTTCAATTTGTAGGACAGATCGGAAACGTGAACAGATCATTCTACATTAAACAGAAAAGGCAACACAAATGCAATTTAATTCAGGTTTTGATCTAAAGAACTTATTAGGCATATTAAAGCATGGATTAACGTTAATCATGGGTCAAGGTTGTTACAGAAACCAAACGGATCAAGAAGGAAGATTGTACCGATATTCTTGGAGGAAGCGATCGTCGTCAAGATTGGGATCGTCCTGGAGATCTTCGAGCTGGCCCTCAGTCTTGTAATCGATCCAAGCTTTGTTTCTGGGCTTGGAGTCTTGGTCTTGATCTTCAGTGGGGGGTAAAGGGATGAGGCTTGAATGGAGTCAGTTTCGAAGGGAGGTTGCCCAGCTTTCTCTGAATGTCGTCCCATTGCGTCGATGCTCCTTCCAAGTCCTTGTGCACGAAGTGGTAATTCACCATTATTTCAATCAACAATCTCTCTCTCTCTCTGTGCGTGGTGGTTTCGATGAGCTTCTGCGATGATAGTGATGAGATGATGAATCAGTGGATTATTGGGCCCTTTTGGGACCAATTGGGTCTACAACCACATGGACTTTGTTTATGTATTTGAAACAGTCCCATTTAATCTAGTTTATTAAACAAAACCCAATTTGAATAATTCCTTTCATCTCATGCTAGGTTAATTAGAGATTGGAGCTTCAAACGAATAGTTTGTTTGGGTGTGTTATATAAACACATTTTTTTATCTTTTTTGAGTCAAATCACTTTTCTATTTTTTTATATATCTTTTCGTAAAAAGTCAAAAAGTACATTTATTTAGATCAATCCAAACAACCGTGAAATGTCTCTTTTATTTTATGTTTACAATATAATTCATTTTTTATCATTTATATATTAGTTTTTGCTAACGTTTTAGTTTTTAATTTTGGTAAAGCAACATGGTTTTGTTTTTTATTTTTTTGTAAAATAACAAAATAGCAAAAAGATTTTATAATTAAATGTTTTGAAAATATATAAAAACATGTTTAGTGATTTTTCCAAAAAAATGGAAAGTTAGCCATGGTTTGGCTAACATTTTGGAGCTAAATAATCACCAAAAAAACAAAATAGGCTATATAAGTCAATAAGACAAAATATAACTTTTTATCCATAATCATTACATTTTTTCTCTCATAAAAATTAAAAAAAAAATTCCAAAACAAAAACTAAACAACACCGAAAAAGTCTCAATACAAAAAAAAAAAAAAAAAAAAAAAAAAAAAAATGACTAAAAAAAGCCAATACCAAATGAACCTTGTTGGGAGAGTAGTCGGAAGGTAGAAAGAAAAGAATGAGAATACAAATCTGGACGGGCCGAAGATGGATGGAGTCATGGGCTTGGAGAATTGGCCTAATTTATGCGGGCGAAAAATAATTAGCCCATTCAAAACGCAGGCACTCGAATCATATATAAGCGAGTTTTCACCCTTGGTTGCAATTTCTTTTTACTTATTATTTATAGTTTCCAATCAGTCTGTGAAATCCATATCCATTGATTTCGATCAAATCGATCGATTTCAAACCCTGAAAAAAAGAAGAAGAGGAAGAAGAGTATGAACCTAAACATGAACTCAGTGGAGTCTCTGGTGGCTCAAATCCAAGGGCTATCGAGCAGTGGCGATGACATTGCTCACCTTCACAGCCTTCTCAAGCAATCCGAGGAACTTCTTCAGTCCGAGTCGACTCGCTTGGCTGTTGTCCTTGCTGAACTCGATCCTTCAAAGCATTCTCTCGGATACCTCTACATTCTGTAAGCTTCCCCCTCAATCATCAACTACATGTATAATCTATATATATATATATATATATTCATATTCGTATGTCTACAATATTATTGCAATATGTATGCATTTTTTTGTGTATGTATGTCAATGTGTGTTTAGTTGTGGGGGTTCTGCAATTTTTACTGTTGATATATCCTAAAATATGCGGGCAATTGTTTGTTTTAGGGTTAGGGTTAGGGTTAGGGCTAGGGTTTGGGTGCATAGGGTTTGCATATTGCGTACTTGTAAGGCACTGTTGCATATGCATACATATGTATTTATTTACTGTTGTACTATTTTCTGGGGAATTTGCGGGATTGTAAGTTATAACTTATATTACTAAACCTTGAATTTTCAAGGTGGGTTGCAATCTGGGTGAGAAGTGCTCACTAGTTGCGGATATAGAGTGGGGATCGGAAGTCAGGAAGACCTGAAAAATTGAAAATCCTAGCTGAGTTATCTTCTTAGCAATTTACATATGGTTGGTAAAAAAAAAAAAAAAAGTATGTTTTAAAAGGGTTTGATCAAATCATGAATTGTAATTGCCTTTGAAGACAGAACCAATAAGCATCTGCATACACTTGCATTTTTTTTGAAATAAGATGAACGGGTTGAATGCTCGACTATGAAGCACAGGCACTCCAAAAATGGTGCCGGACGAGTACCGGATACTTACTAGGTGCTTGTACGTGTACCGGTATGGCGGTATGCATACTGGGTACGTTGAATACATGCTGGGTACGGCAAATACGTTCGTGGGTACGGCATGGATACGTTGTGGGTATGGCAAGAGTTCTTTTTTTTTTGGCTATTAGAATTTGTTGCAACCTTTATTTTTTTTTTTCAACTTCGAAAATCATCAAGTAATTTATTTCTGACACCCATAAGTCGTGGTTTTGCTCTCTTTTGCATCTTGTTTTAGAAAATCAAAAAATAAAAGAAATAATTGTATAACTTTTTAGAGAAATTGTTCTCTTTTTAGTTTTGATATTGAAATTTTGATTTGTATGTTGGATCTTTAGTTATAATTTTTAAATTTTTTTTTTTGGCATACCCGTACCCGTACCTGTACCTTACTTTTTAAAGAATTTGTTGTATCGGCGTACCCGTATCATACCTGCACCCGTACTTCATAGATGCTCGAGTTGTAAGTTAATAAATGGAAAAGAAATAGTGAGCGTGAGAGAGATCAGTTGTCAACTCCGGTTAGCATAATATGCTGTTAAATGCCAATCAGTATAATAAAAACTAAACATCTGAAGAGCTTGATGTCGTCATGGTTTTGTTTGGTAATATGTAAATTTCCCAACATAATTCCACCAATTCAATCACCAAGGAGCAGAAACTGCGATAATGTTGCAACTCGGTGGGAAAGAAAAGAAAAATCAATGACAGACAGAAAAATGTGCTGCAGATTGATAGATTTGCTCCACAAGCTGATACGTGGATTGTCTAAGAATTAAAACATAAGAAGTGTTTAATATGTTAGATTGTTGAACCACTATCCACCAAACGAATAGTGCTTTAACAGAGTTAATGCAAATAAAAGACCTTATAAGATCACAGCCTACCATATTGGTATTGCATATTGCAGGATCAAAACTAAGTTTTTGTTGTATGGTACCTCTCTGCAGGGAGGCATGCACGGCTGCACCAATTTCGAAAGAGCAAGCTAATGAAGTGATTCTGTCCATTGCGAGATTCATCAATGAGTGTGCTGCAGAACAGATTCGTTTAGCGCCTGACAAATGTATTGATCTTTACAATATATAACATGTGACTATGTGTATATTATCTATTTGCCTTCACAATTTATTGTTGGTATGTTGCATTTGCAGTTATATCTGTTTGCAAGAGGTTCAAGGACCAAGTTATACTGTTTGAAGCTCCCATGCGGGGTGTAGCTCCATTGTTGACCGCTGTTAGAAAACTTAAGACCACCTCTGAACAGTTGACTGCTTTGCATCCGGATTTTCTTCTACTCTGTTTATTAGCAAAATGCTATAAAACTGGTCTATGCATTTTGGAGGATGATATATATGAGGTTGATCAGCCGAGGGACTTTTTT